ATCTTTTATTTTATTTATTTATTTTATATATATTTTATTTATTCATGACACACACACACACACACACACACACACACACAGTGAGAGGCAGAGACACAGGCAGAGGGAGAAGCAGGCTCCATGCAGGGAGCCTGACGTGGGACTCGATCCCAGATCTCCAGGATCACACCCTGGGCTGAAGGCGGTGCTAAACCACTGGGCCACTGGGGCTGCCCCCTACCTTATCTTTTAATGTAAGTGTTCTTTTTAACATTAAAACAAAAAAGTCTACCTCTATTCATCAGACAAAAATATCCCTTTTAGCCATTGACTGAAATAATGCCTAAAGCTATTGGGAAGTCATTCTTTGGTGGTACTCTCCCCCCCCCAACATAAGAAGATTTTTGATAGCTGTCATCTCAACAGAATTTCTAAATTAAGGGTCATCATCATTTCTAGAATTTTATATCACAGTGAAGAATAATTTGAAAACATATTTTTATGTAATTTTTATTATAGTTAAGATGGCTTAGCACTATACCAGAGAAATAAAAACACTTGTACTGTTTCCAGTATATTCAGACTGATACAGCTAGAATAGTTCAGTGAGGTCTCCACAGCCTTTGGATGTTATTATTTGATTGCCTAATTGTCCATGGTTCTTTTTTTTTTTAATTTTTATTTATTTATGATAGTCACACACAGAGAGAGAGAGAGAGAGAGAGAGGCAGAGACACAGGCAGAGGGAGAAGCCGGCTCCATGCACCAGGAGCCTGATGTGGGATTCGATCCCGGGTCTCCAGGATCGGGCCCTGGGCCAAAGGCAGGCGCCAAACCGCTGCGCCACCCAGGGATCCCTTGTCCATGGTTCTGAATAAATAATTCAGCAATGATTTAAAATGAATGTATTTCATTTTTCAGTACATCATTCTCATAATCTGAGAACAATAATATATCAGAGCATGAAATCTTATTTGCTGGATCCTTTGACATGCTTGATACTAGATTGATATTCCTAGTATAACTGTAAGCAGCCACTGGTCTAGGGCTTACGGTTTGGGAACCAGTAAGCTTGGCAGGAAGGAGTTTTTCTGGGCTACCTATGCAGCTGGATAGAGGTAGGAGGTTTGTGCCCTGGGAATCCAGATGGTCATTGGCCTCTGACCCCCTTTTCACTATGCTAATAAGTAAGTGGTAAAGTTAGATTTGGAGCAGGCAATCTCATTCTGAAGCTCTCCCTTCTAATCCCTAAGCCCCTAAGATATAATAGGTATTATATCTAGGGCAAGGACACTATGTCACTCACTTTGTGTTCTTTGGGCCTAATACAACTACCTATAACATGACAGAAACCTCAATAATAATTTATTGAATTAATTATTATTGGATAAACTTTTATTTTGATCCTTAACCTTATAATTTATATCATATCTTTACCTAGTCATGCTTAAAGTTCTTCCCAATTCTCTTTATAACTGTAAAATCTTTTTCCTCATATTAAATCACCAACTTCTTTTAAATCAATTTTATTTTGTTCAAGTATAATTAACATACAGTGTTATATTGGTTTCAGGAGTACAATATAGTGGTTCAACAATTCTATACATTTCTTGTTTCTCATCAAGATAAGCTTACTCTTAAAAAAAAAAAAAAGATAAGCTTACTCTTAACCCCCTTCACATTTCACACATGCATGCCCCCACCCACCTCCCCTCTGGCAACCCTCTGTTCTCTGTAGTTAAGAATCTCGTTTTTTGTTTGTCTCTTTTTTTGTTGTTCATTTGTTTCTTAAATTCCACACAGAAGTGAAAACATACGGTATTTGTTCTTTCTCTGATGTACTTCACTTAGCATTATACCCTCTAGATCTATCCATGTTGTTGCAAATGGCAAGATTTCATTCTTTTTATGGCCAAGTAATATTCCACTGTATAAGATAGTTAGATAAAGATATGTAGGCAGGTAGGTAGATAGGTAGATATCCCATCTTCTTCATCCATTCATCTATTGATGGACACTTGAGTTGCTTCCATATCTTGACTATTGTGAATAATGCTGCAGTAAATATAGGGGTGAATAGATCTTTTAGAATTAGTATTTTCTTTTCTTTTGGGTAACTAGTAGTTGAATTACTAGATCATATGGTAAGTTTATTTTTAATTTGAGGAACCTCCATACTGTTTTTCCACAGTGGCTGTACCAGTTTCCATTCTCACCAAAAGTGCATGAGGGCTCCCTTTTCTCCAAATCCTTGGCAGCACTTGTTATTTCTCATCTTTCTGATTTTAGCCATTCTGATAGGTGTAAAGTAATATCTTATTTTGGTTTTAATTTGCATTTCCCTGATGATTAGTGATGTTAAGCATCTTTTCATGTCTGTTGGCCATCTGTATGTCCTCTTTGAAAAAATATCTATTCACATCCTCTGCCCATTTTTAATTGGATTGTTTGGTTTTTTGGTGTTGATTGGCATAAGTTTTTTATATATTTTAGATATTAACCTTTTATCAGATATATTATTTACAAACAACTCCCATTCAGTAGGTTGCCTTTTTGCTTTGTTGATGGTTTTCTTTGCTGTGTAATAACTTTTTATTTTGGTGTACTACTATGGCTTAGTTTTGCTTTTGTTTCCCTTGCCAGAGATAACATATCTAGAAAAATGTTTCCACGGCTGTTGTGAAAGAAATTACTGTTTTATGTTTTCATCTAGGAATTTTATGGTTTAATGTCTTCGTATTTAAGTCTTTAATCCATTTCAAGTTTATTTTTGTATATGGTTTAAGAAAAGGCTCCAGTTTCATTCTTTTGCATGTAGCTGTCCAGTTTTCCCAACACCATTTGTTGGGAAGAGACTGTCATGATATATTCTTGCCCCTTTGTCATAGATTAATTGACCATAAAAGCATGGGCTTATTTCTAGACTCTCTCTTCTATTCCATTGATCTGTGTCTTTATTTTTGTGTCAGTACCATATTGTTTTGATTACTACAGCTTTTAATAGATCTTAAAATCTGGGATTGTGATACCTCTAGCTTTGCTCTTTTTCAAGATTGCTTTGGCTATTTGGGGGTTTTTGTTAAACCATCATCTTCTAAGGGAAGATCTGAGAAGGAAGAATGCAAGAAAAATATTCTGAGTGCCTACCAGGTACGAAGAATTTAGTTGCCTGTGAGGCAGTATTTACCAAACCTTGTCGTGCATGAGAATCACATGTAGAGAGGCATTCCTGAGCTGTATTTCCCCTTATATATTTAAGTAAATCTTCAGAACATGGGATAATCTGTAATTTTATTACCTTCACAAGCTATTTTGAAGTACCCAGCCTAGTATTTAAGAACTGCTGCAGGTGACTGATAGAAATGGAAGACTCTCTACTTAGTCAGAAGCAGCTTAAAGTTAGGTGTAAAGATACACATGCAAGATGTAAACAGTAATTCATGACAGCAAGAGAGTAATGAGGCAGTATATGATTAATTGCTTAGAGAATGGCATAGACAGTGAGCACTCTTGGGGTTGTGTGGAGAGAGATACTACTTTCAGCTCAGTAGGATTGAGATATGTGCCAGATCTACCAGGATTAGGGAGATTTGGATTGCCATGGAGAATAGGGGGTGAGAATGGGGAACGTAGGTATCGGTAAGTGACTAGATCTTGAAGATGGACAGATGAGTAAGACAAACAATTCCTGCTGTCACAGAGCTCGTAATGTGTTTAATGTAGTAGGCAGTTGAACATATATCTATCTAACATGTGGTGAGTACAGTGAGAAACATTCCAGATAGAAAGAATTTGGATAAAGCCCACATCAGGAAAATGAGAGAAATATGCTGGGGTAGGATAGGAACCAATTCAGCTTGAGCCAGAGGTTTACATGGAGAATATAAAAAATACTAGCTTCTAAAAAAAAAAAAAATACTAGCTTCTAGGCTCAAAAGAAGAGAGTAAAAGGCTTGGAAGCTTGGCAAATTTAAGGAGTAGGAAGCTTTTCTTGTGCTTTCAAAATCATATCAGGCTGCTACTACTCTGTTTATTCACAAGGCAATCTTGAGAGTGAGGGCATTTGTAGCATTCAAAGTAGAGAAAGTTAAAGGGGCTGGGAGAAAATAAATCATTCTGGCAAGATGGGTTGGGACCAAATTCTAAGGTCATAAATTAAACTGTTCACTGCTACTTGGTAATATGGACAAGTCACCTAATCTCTAAATAATCAGTTTCCCATTGTGGGCTTCAGTATAAGGAAAATTCTGTTAAAAAAAAAAAATGAAGGGACGCCTGGGTGGCTCAGTGGTTGAGTGTCTGCCTACGGCTGGGGGTGTGATCCTGGAGACCCAGGATTGAGTTCCACATCAGGCTCCCTGCATGGAGCCTGCTTCTCCCTCTGCCTGGGTCTCTGCCTCTCTCTCTGTGTCTCTCACGAATAAATAAATAAAATCTTTTTTAAAAAAATTAACCAAGACATTTTATCTTGATTTTCCAACCATTTTTTTTCTTCTTAGAGTAGAATCCTTAGTAAGTAAAACAGATACAAGCAGAACTAATCTGCTTGGAGAGGTCAAAGGAAACAGTATGGAGCTATGCCTACCTGCCTTCTTTCCACTTATTCCTAATCCTTCCACATGGCCTCTGAGTCATTTTCAAGGAACTCTAGGACTCCTAAACTCACAGTTTAAAAATCAGTGATGCAATTGATTATAGGTTCATTTTGCCTATAGTATATTACTTATTTTTCGTAGGAAAGTTGTACATCACAGGAAGAAATGAAATCCTTGTTTATAGGTTCTGGATCCTGTACTTTATTGCTCTCTTTCCCCCCTTGGGATACACTCTTGCTCTTAATCATCTTTCTGGAAGCAAACCCCAGCACTTTGTATACTTTGATGGATATAGAATTGATCTGGAGGCACATATGCCCAGAAGCTCAATTCTTGTTGAAAAAAAAAAAAAGAAAGAAAAGAAAAAAAAAAGAACTTGATTAAAACCTAGATCTCAAGCTCAGACTGTTTCTTTTTATTCATTAGATTTGTCTGCCTCTGCTCATTCCAAGGTGGTGATCTTCACGGTCAACTCTTTGGGTAGTTCTCAGTCCTACCTAGATGTGGTGCAAAGCAATGTGGATATGTTCAGAGCCCTTGTCCCAGCTCTGGGACATTATAGTCAACATAGTGTCCTGCTCGTTGCATCTCAACCAGGTAAAAGGTTTTATTCTAAGTTAATCTGACAGTCCAGTGCATCAGTAGAATTGCTATTACTGATAAAAGTCATAAAACTAGATTATAAAGAAACAGCTAGACTATTCATATTGCTCTTCTCCTGAACAATATAGTACTGACATATCCTGTCAACCAGTTGCTTCTTATGACTGGCAATAACTAGAAGGTTACAACTTACAGTTTTTTATGTAATACTACCATCATTCTGTTCCAGGTTTTTAGCCATGTCTCCTTCAGTGAGAAAATGGTTAAACACCCAAGAGAAAAATACAATGGCTTATGTGAAAGATCTTTTGTTAACTGTAAAGTGTCATAAAATGTTGGCATGCCAGTGTGCATTTTTCACTTTTTGCGTATTACAAGTTGTTTTTGGAATTATTTTACTTTAAAAAGAAATATTTTCAAAGAATTAGGTGGTACTGGACTCAAATTGGTGAACAGGGTTTCTTAATGTTCCCAGTATAAAGGTATGCATTTTACATGTTTTCCTATAGTTACTGGTTGAGGGACACTGGTCTCTTTAATTCCTGACATCCTTTTGGCATGGCAGGAAAAAAGTAGTTGTGTTTGTTCATAATGTTGTGCTGTGTAGCAGTAGTATGTGATCATTATTTTAATTTAAAGATAGAAATTCACCTAAAGATAAAAAATGAGAGCTTGATCAATGAGAAACAATTATCTTTTTCTGGTTTTCTGTACCAGTTTTTATCTTTCTTATTTAATTAGGAAAATATTTCCCACTTTTAATTTATATTCAACTACAAAGTTACATAAAATCATGCTGATGCCGGACTGTGATTTTAATATACATTAAAAATACGATTTGCCTCATAGTGCATTTAGGACCTAGGAAGAATATATAGAAGCTCTACTATACTTACTAAATTAATCACTGTTTTATTTATGAAGTAGACTGGAAGTATATATTTAAAAAATCTTCATACTTTCACCTTGTGTGTGATATTTAGTGGAAATCATGACGTATGTGACATGGAAACTGAGTGCATTTCCTGCAAATCGAGTGATCGGAATTGGATGTAATCTGGATTCACAGAGACTACAATATATTATTACAAATGTTTTGAAGGCACAGACTTCAGGAAAACAAGTATGGGTTGTTGGTGAGCAAGGAGAAGCCAAAGGTAAGAAATACATCTTAATTAATTATACTGATAAGCGAAGTCATCAGTGGCCACGATATTCAGATACATCTGGAGATTCCAGAATAGTGGAGCTTGCTTGGCTTTTGTTTCACATTTGAGCACCTTCTGTGTACCAGGCCCTGCATCGTGAATAGACTCTTCAGGTGTGTCGTTCTCATTCATTTATTTTTCCGTAAGTTTAAGATTGGGCAAGACCCCTTAGTTTTATGTTTTTTAATTGAATTTCAGAGTCCAGGATTAATTTGAAAGTTTAATTTTCTAGAGAGTCATGTTTAAATGAACCCTAACGCATGTACAGAACTTCTTCCTTTCCGCTCCCCACACTATAGCCTTGCTTACCTTTCCTGAGTTCAGACTTTCTCCCTAGGGCCATACCTCCTGTCTGTTTCTCACCTTTTTAAACAGATTTTCACTTTTTGTTTATCCTTATGACCTTTTTCATCAGCCCACTTTCTCTCTTCCTACCACAAAAAGCATTCAGTTCCCCAGATTGGAAAGCCCTCTTTCTTATTCAAAAAAAATACTTTCCCTATTGAACTTTAAAATCTCTTCCTTTACCCCGTTTTCCATTATGCTATAAAGTCAAGTTGATCAGCTGACAGAAGTGCTGTTTGTCTTCATTTTGTATAAGAGTATATAAGTCCCTACTCTTTACTCCTGTGTAAGATATTAGTATGATATGAAAGAGGTATAGGGGTGTCTGGGGGGCTCAATCAGTTAAGCATCCGACTCTTGGTTTCAGCTCTGGTCATGATATCAGGGTCGTGAGATTGAGCCCCACATCAGGCTTTGCACTTAGCATGGAGTCCGCTTGAGATTCTCTCTCTTTCCTTCTCCCTGCCCCACCCTCTGTTGGCTCACTCTCTCAAATAAATAAACAAACAAACAAACATAAATTATAAAACATAAGTAAATACATAAAAGTAATACATAAAATATATATACATAAATAAATATACATAAACATATATGTATTTATTTATTTAAAGAAATAATAACGGTCAGTCCATAGTCCCACAAAGCAAATCACCTTCTCAAAACCATTTCCTTAGAATTTAAAGCTTCCTATATGCTTGAATGTCATTAAAACAAATTATTAACAATGGTTGTATCTGGACTAAAGGAAACTTTGAAAAATGTGTACTTGTCAGTATTTTCTAATTTTTTCATTATGGGTATGTGGTATTTGTATAATTTTTAAGAAAAATTTAATAAAATATAGCAGTATTTAAATCTATGTAAATTGGTACTGGCTACCTAGAAAATTCAGTGCTAGGAAGACCAAGGCAGTGGGATAAATAAACCTTTATAAAGCCTGACATTGTGATTGAGCAGGATGACTTCAGGCTTAAAATGCCCCCTGACACTAGACGCTAATCAGCAGGACCCTAGAAAAGGGTAGCAAGCAAGAACTCAGAGCAGATGTATTAGAATAAGGAATGTCTAGGGTTGCAAACACACCTGAGACCCCATATTTTACTCACTAGTGCTCTTTGAGTTCTGGTCCACGTTGGTCTCTTACTTTTTTGATTCTTGCAGCTCTCCCAGTTAGTTTGCTGTTTCCCCTCTCACCTTGTAAATTATGCCAAATTAATAATGATATTAGCCAGAACTTTACTGTGTGCTTTTATGTATGAAATCAATCTTCCTAAATTATATTCCTCTTTTCAAAAACCTTCACTGGCTTTCTCTGACCAAACTATTAAATTCCTTTGGTTGGCATTCAAGAAGTTCCAAAATATAGTTCTAATCTTCCTTCCTCGTTATTTTTGAGGAGGTAGTAATGTTATATTTGAGAGCTGAAAGGGAACCAAGGGCTCAATTACATTTTGTTGTAGGGAGCCAGCAATGGCTAAAGAGATGGTAAGAGTGATCTACCCAAGAACCTGGAGTTTTTAGGGTCAAAGAAGGACTATAAAGCCCAGGGCTTAAAAAAAATAAAAAATAAAAAATAAAGCCCAGGGCTTGTGCCTCCTAGCCCTACCCCACAGCTTTGTTTTAGCCACAGGAAACCTTGCCCTTCTCCCACTGTCAGCATGTTCAAATTTCATCCTTCGAGGTCTAGTTCAAGCCCTCCTAACTCACACTGGGAAGCTTTCCTGATCATATCACTCACTCCACAATGATTCCTTCACCCCTTTGAGCTAAAAGCTATTGTTAACTGTACAGTAATTAACCATATAACCGATAAACATGACGTTTATTCTTTTGTTAAACTGCTGTTTGTTCTGACCCAGCTTGAATATTTTGTGTGTATATCTTCTCCTTATTGAAAATGTAAATTATTAAGCTGTTCTTAGTTGAAAAACATTATAAAAAGTTAAATAGTACAAAAAGATATATGTAGTAAAAAACAAGTCTCCCTTCTATGCCAGATACCTAGTCTCTCTCCCTAGATTCTGGCACAGTTACCGGTCTCTTGTGTAACTTTCTGAAAATGTGTGTGTAGATAAGCATATATATGAAATATTTTTTAGGTAGCCAATACAGTATATCAATCTGCACCTTGCCCTTTTACTTACTGATATGATGTGGAAATGATGCATAATAACATATACAGATGGCACTCATTCTTTTATTTATTTATTTCACTCATTCTTTTAAACTACTGGATATATCAACATTTATTTAACCAATCCCCCTAATAAGTTCCAATTTTTGAATGAATAGAAACATTTCACATATGGTTGTATTAATAACTCAAATTGTAAAGAGTAAATGAAGGATAGTGAAATTGATAAATAAGCCTCAGGCACTATGCTGACTTTTGTGGGAGCTATATTGGTGTGTAAGAACCTGCTTATATCTAGCACAGGAAATGACTATAATGGGAAACAGCATTGACTTACTTGCTGTGGGAGTGGTTCATGGGAAGTAGGATAAAAACACAAGGAAAGGATATAGTAATTCTTGAGCTCTCAAATGGGAACTAGAAACAGAGGAATGGAATGTAGATACCTGTGAATTGGGATCACTTAAATGTAGTATTATGTACTATTTGACCTATAATAAAAGAATACATATAGGTATAAAATATGTTTTAAAGGGACGCCTGGGTGGCTCAGCAGTTGAGCATCTGCCTTTGGCCCAGGGCGTGATCCTGGTCCCGGGATCGAGTCCCACATCAGGCTCCCTGCATGGAGCCTGCTTCTCCCTCTGCCTGTGTCTCTACCTCTCTTTCTGTCTCTCATGAATAAATAAATAAAATCTTTAAAAATATGTTTTAAAACATAATGGAACAAATATTCATGAATCTACAGTCAGTTAAAAATATTACCAATACCACCCAACCCATCTCCCTGTGTCCCATCAGACACCACCATCAGATCATTTTTTATCCTGTCTTGTACTTTGTTTTAGAGATAGTCCCGTACACCATAGGAGTAACTTACCCCAGCCCTGAAGCCAGAAATGGCTAGAGGCTCCCTCTGCTGGTTTCATGTGTAAACATCAAGGGGTTGTATTTTTGCATAAGTGACATCACCGCAGTAATAGTGATTATAATTACTTTTCATTGAAAGCCTACTATATGTATTAAATGTGTTACATATCTCACTTAAAAGTTACAAACACCCTCTGAAGGAGTAGTGTGATCTTCCAAATTAATAGATGAGGAAGCTTGAGACTCCATGAGTTTAAGTAATTTGCCCAAAATTACGTATCTATTAAGATTTGAACCCTGCTCTGACTCCAAAGTTGTGCTTTTTCCTACCCTGACTTACTTAATTTATCTAAAGCATTTAGTGCAGTGTCTAGCACAGCATAAATACTCAGTAAATAGTAGTTTCTATTGCGGCGATTGGCAAGACGGTGATGAATAGAAAATTGGCAAAAGGATATGTAAAATTACACTTTGAAGTAAAGCAACATTAGGACTTGGAAGCTGTTATAAGAATAGCAGGCGTGCAAACAAAATTAATCCTCAAGTATTTCAGTGACAGCCACAGCCTAGAAGAGGAATACAGGACATACAAGGCCATTTAGGATGAGTTTTCTGCTTCCCTTCTCTCACCAGCTTCCTCTTCTGCTCTCCTGCCAGGCATTCAATGCTAGTCATAGGGTCAACTTACAGCTTCCTGGAGTGTTTCATGCACTCTCATGCCTCCTTGCTCTTGCACCTGATTCTTCCTTTCCCTGAACATTCATTCACTTGGCTGACGCCTGCCTGCCCTTCAGGTTGGGGCTTGAATGCCCCTCTCCCAGGAGCCTTTCCTAGGTCTTCACATTCAGTTCATGCCTCTGTTATAACCATTATCACACCGTATTATAACTGCATATTTACCTTTCTGTTTACTGCTGCCTAACTGCAAGCTCCTTGACCCTGGAATGCCTCAGTAAATGTGTTCTGAAATAATGTTGAAACTGTCTTGTTGGGGATCCCTCGGTGGCGCAGCGGTTTGGCGCCTGCCTTTGGCCCAGGGCGCGATCCTGGAGACCCTGGTATCGAATCCCACGTCGGGCTTCCGGTGCATGGAGCCTGCTTCTCCTTCTGCCTGTGTCTCTGCCTCTCTCTCTCTGTGACTATCATAATTAATAAAAAAATTAAAAAAAAAACATTCCACTAAAAAAAAAAAAAACTGTCTTTGTGACCAAAGGTCATTCATATTAATATACACACACACACACACACACACTGCAATTAGATAGCAGAACATATGCTTTGGAGATGCTGTTCTCAGCTATGATATTAACATCATATGTAAACTGCAGATAACTCTTTCAAATGATGGCTTAGAAATCCAGGGGTTGGGTCTCAGAACAGAATATTAGGTCATCTGCTTTGAGCATCAGTCATATACAAGGGAACATGTTGTATGCAATGGAAAAGTTTCCCCATGGTCATTGTTCATTAAAATTTGGGGGGCCAGAGGATTGCTGTTTTTGGGAAATGGAGCCAGAAAGATGATTGATTAGTTACAATATTTTAAAGGGCTCCCTAAAATAGGTTGGACATATATTTAGGAAGTTCAAAGGGCTGGGCAGTAAATGAACAAAAAAGTCCACCTAAACTTAATTAAAAATTCTAATGACTGTGTCACAAAGTTGAACACAGTGAAGTTTTCTCCCTCTCCATTCTTTCCTCCTGGCTCTTAGAAGTACGACTCAGAGAGGAAAGAATGAATGTGATATACATGCACACAAACACACTCATAACTTTCAGATTTTTTTTGTGCCCTTTCTCAGCATTCTTATTTCTCCCTTGCCCTTTTTTATTCATTCTTCCAAGGTCTGTAAAAATGCTGTATTTCATTTAGCAGACATTTCCCCCAATTTTCTATCTATTGTGACTATCAATAATGTACAGAAAATTTTTAGTAAGAAATTCATATATAACCATTCTAAGTAAAAAGTATTTTTTAAAATCTCTTAATCTGTCCATCCACATATATTTTTCATATAAGTTTTGGGTTTTGCTTTTTTTGTCTTAATGTAAAAGCGTAAAAAGATTTCATTCATTCATTTATTTCCCTGAAGCAGGGGGAGGGACAGAGGGAAAAGGAGACTCTCCATTGAGCATGGAACCCAATGTGGGGCTCAAGTTTATGACCCTGAGATCATGATCTGAGCCAAAATCAAGAATCTGAAGCTCAACCCAGCTACCCAGGCACCGCTTAACATAAAAGCTTTCAAATTTTTTTCGTGTTTTTCAATTTAACTGTTGCAAGCATGCTTTCTTCTTTGTTGATAAAATTTTGGATTGTGTTGTGAAGTCAGTTCTGCATCATCTCCTGTGCATTCTATACCATAGTTAAAAATACGTGAGAGGACTCAAAAGATCACATGGCCCCGGTCTCCTGCAAGCCTATAATCAGTTTGAGGAAGAGGTACCTGGATACATATGTTGTTCTTTGTTGCTGACCCATCACTAAATGGCCTAATTTTGAATGCAGTTTAGAAGACTTATATGTTGGGGTGCTTGGGTGGCTCAGTCGGTTGAGTGTTGTTTGACTCCTGATTTTGGTTCAGGTTGTGATCTCAAGTGTTGTGAGATGGAGCCCCAGGTCAGGTTCAGTGGGGGGTCTGCTTGAGATTCTCTCTGTGCTTCCCCCCCTGCACTCTTTCTTTCTCTAAGATAAATAATCTTTTAAAAAAGACTTCTATCTTAAACATAGTCTTTATATCCAAATGTATTTTTATTTTGCCTACCCCAGTACAGATTTGTGTCAAAGAATGTCTTCACAGGTGAGAAATAGATGAAAATTAGGAGGATTTCAACATGTTTCTGGCAGTTTCTATTTAATACTAAAATGTAGTAAATGTCCAATTTATTGTGTGTATTAAATGTGTAAATGTCCAATTCATGCTCATAGCTTTGAATTTTTGAATTGTTTTTGTAAATGATGTAATGAAATGAAATGGTAACCCAAAAGATCCTCTTAGCAAACAGGACCCTGCCTCTCTAACAGCTGTGGAAATCGAGGCAAAATAGGTGACCAAATTATTCTCATTGTGTTCCCAAATGGAGCAATTACTAAGGGTTTGCAGTGCTTGGAAGTCTATTATACACAGCCTGCTGAGCAAAGAAACTTTCTCCTTGGACAGTAAAACGGCCTTTGTAGAACTAGTGTTGATGAGAGAACACAGATCCTGCAGATCGCAGATAGGCTCTGAGGATCATGTGTTTTGGGGGGATTGCAACTCCCAGGTGGTTGGCACAGCCTACCCAGTGCCATCAGTGGAAAACTATTTCTAGAAAGGGAGGAAAGTATTCAGTTTAACACAGAGACCCTTGACTGCAGATGATCATTTATCACATCTTTATCCTAAGGGAGTTGTTGGCAACTTATAATTTTTCCTTTAATTTCTAGTGCCTGTATGGGGTGGCCAAGAAGAGGTAATGAGTCATAACTCTCAGGTGCAGTTGTCCACCAGGTAACAGTGTCGATTTGCATTTACCCAATTGAAAATCATGTACTTCATAGCTACCATTACAACTGTTCACACAGCATGGCCCTTACCAGGCTTCTGCCAGCAAACTTAGCTAGTATGGACAATTCCAAAGTACAAGGGTATAATGCTCTTTAGTCTTTAGTTTCTTATCTGAAAGAAGATCCAGGAGTGGTTTGCAAATTTTATTTTACATACACAGTGGACGCATAAAGGATGGAACAGGTTTCTTATTTGTAGTCCATGATTTCCTGCTCTGATAGGTCAACATCTGAGGATATTAAGAATTTTCTTAATGTAGAAAGAATTTGTCCATATCACTTAAAATTAATACAGGGGTGCCTGGGTGGCTCGTTTAGTTGAGCATCTAACTCTTGGTTTTGGCTTAGGTCATGATCTCAGAGTCATGAGATCAAGCCCCACATTGGGTGCTGTGCTCTGCAGGGAGACTTCTTGAGATTCTCTGTCTCTCCCTCTCCCCCACTTGCGTGTTATCTAAGTAATAAATCTTAAAAAAAGTAATATATATTTATTAATCATACATAAATACATTTGGAAATTAGTCTAATATGAATGGATAAGCCATTTAAGTTCAGGGAAAAATAAAAATAAATAAAAAATAAACAGTAGTGAGCAAACCACTGTTTATTAGGTGCAAGCCCTCATGGCCCATACAATCTAGTATGGGTGACACAGTAATCAAATCTCACAACTAAATGTACAGATAGATCCTTCTTTTACCTTTGATCAGAAATCTTCCAAGGTCTGTGCCCTACAGTTTGTACTCCACACACTGTATATTTTTATGCCGTGTGTTGTCTTACCATCACATAATAACATACATTTCTGCAGTTCAGGAGAAATTTTTAGCCTTTTAAACCTTCAGCTTAAGACTTTTAGACTATAACAACTGGAAAGAATATCCTCTTACTGCGAAGAGTAGTGTTTTATATAATCCATTCCAATCTGATTCTGTGTAATCCCCGCATTTATAAGGAAAGAATTATAAAAGGAAGAAATCAAACATGTCTATTTAATTTATATCATTTTTATTATTTACGAAGAGAATGGGTGCTATTATAAAACCTCATATACTGCAGATATCTATAAAAGAGAAAGTGAAAAGCTGGGGGTAATCCCACTCTCCAGAGACAACTACTGTTAACAGCTTAGGGTGCACATGTCCAAATATTTTCCCAGTGCTTATGCAAACATTATCATTATTATTTTTATTATTTGTAAAATAATAAATGTATGCTATTCATATTATCTTGAAACTTAGTTTGTTTCCTTTATAATAAATCTTGGACATTTTTCCATATTACATATAAATATACCTCATTCCTTTCTGGAGCTATGCAGTACTACATTTGGATAGTGATTTATTGAACCACCCCTCTTTTGAGGAGTTGTTTCCAGAATTTTTGCTGTCTCACACAAGGCAAACATGCATATATATTTGCATACTTGAGCATTTTGTAGTGGAATAAAATCCCTCAAGAGGAATTTCTAGATCAGATGTTGTTAAATCTTCCTCCTAAAAGATTGTATTACCTTCCACTCTCAACAGCAGTTATGGGAATGCCTGTTTCTCTGTAGCTTCTCCAAAAGTACTTATCAATCTTTTTAAATTTGTCTATTTTGATAGGTGACACTGGTGTATTATTTTAACTCATATTTAAGTATTAGTAGACATAAGCTGCTTTTTATGATATTAAGCTATTTGTATTTTCTCTCTGTGAATGACCTGCCTGACATTTTAAGAAAAGTTTAATCATTAGATTATTTGTAGGCTTTCCTGACAATTGCTATATAACTTACTTCTGAATCAAAAAATTAATACCTTAAATCGTCTAAAACTGAATGCCTACTTTGTTAATTTCCTGAGTTTTTTGTTTTTGTTTTGGTAACCTAGAGCCATGGAACTGTTACGGGTTAAAGGCCAAAGATCCTGGTCTGTTGGACTATCAGTAGCTGACCTGGTTGACAGTATTGTAAACGATAAAAAGAAAGTACATTCTGTATCAACTTTAGCAAAGGTAATTGCTATTTTCGTACTCTCATCGTTTTAAAGTTTAAGAGTTTTTAAACTTTTATATTATTAATATAAATCCAGAAAAAGTGCTGCTCATACTAACTCAAGTGTATTCTGTTATCACTGTGTTTTAGAATAACACACTGGAGGAGACAGTTTGGTCTAAGCCCTATCCTGCTTGGTTATGGGAAGTCTGGACTTCTTCCAGCTTTCTTCTCCTCTTCCCACCCAATGTAATTTTGGGGAAGGCTCAAGAAATGTTTGTATATTCCATAAAGTTCTTCTGTTTGTCACTTAGCACCTCAGCCATTCATGTCACCCCAGACTGACATGCCAGGTTGTCTTAGCTGGTCGTCAGTCTGCTTCTCCAGTTCAGTTTGACCTTGACCACTCTGTCCCAAGCATAAAATCCCTAAAGCACAGCTAAGACGAGGCACAAATGCTTCACCACATTTTCTTGAAAACTTCAGAATATCAGGAGGGAAATAAAACCTGGAAAGGAAAGCTTAAAACAGGTTACTGTATTTAACTGGGCCCCTCCCCAGTCCACCCCGATCATCTTTTTTCTCAGCCTCCGACCCACTACCAGCAGGCTTATTAGTTCACCTCCCCACAGAGCGGCTGTCTCTGAACACATGCCTCCTGTCTCACACACATTTTCTTAAGTAATCATGAGTTTGGAAATTAAATGAACACTATTTTTTTGTGTTTAAGGTTGAAACAAAAGTTCAACTCATATCTGTTTATACTACAACTAGAAAAGCAGGGAAGTATCCATATTTGTGATACTCATTTTTTGCAGTGGGATGCCTGGGTGGCTCAGTGGTTGAGCATCTGCCTTTGGCTGATCCCATGATCCTGGGGGTCATGATCCCGGGGTCCTGGGATTGAGTCCTGCAGGGAGCCTGCTTCTCCCTTTGCCTATGTCTCTGCCTCTCTCTCTGTCTCTCATGAATAAATAAAATCTTTAAAAAAATTTTTTTTGCAGTGATTTAGCACTATCATAAACTCTTTTTTTTTTCATTTCAGGGATATTATGATATAAATAGTGAAGTGTTCTTAAGTTTGCCTTGCATCGTAGGAACGAGTGGGGTATCTGAAGTCATCAAAAACACAGTGAAGGAAGATACAGTGACTGAGAAACTCCAGAGCAGTTCATCATCAATCCATGATCTCCAACAACAGTTAAAACTTTGATTTTAAAGTTGTTACCAGGAAGGAAAGGTCATTTAATTTTGCCAACATATATAGGGTTGAGAACTTCTATATCTTATTACTTACCCTTACAAACTGCTTGGTTAAGGTAGGTTTCCAGTTAGCTTTGTAATTTGAAACCTTAGGGAGTTAGATAAGGAGGGGGAAAAAATCTAATTTTCTTTGTTGCTCTTGAGCTATCTAAACCATTCTTTAAACCTCAAGCAGAAGTAGACATTCATCGACAATATGCATTATTTAAATTTATGGATCCTCAACTAATAGCACACTCAGCACTTTGGGAGTATTTTGAAAGTAATATATTTTTAAAAGAAAATGACTCCTTGACTGTTAAACACAATACGTTGAAGGGCCAATATTGATTGACAGAGTCTTCTAGGGTACTTTCAAAAGATCCCTGGCCTAAGGTATTGTTTCTTTTTTAAAATATAGTTGGTAGTTATGAGAAAGCATTTTATTTTTCCTCTTCAAATTAATTAGCTGCCAAAAAATTAAAGAATTTTATGTGCACTTTCAAGTTTTTGATATGTGCACTTTCAAGTAGTAAAAGGGAAAGTGAAAATTTTTAATATTTGAAGAAAAAGTGTAGTTAAATTTCCAATGGGGCTATCCTTTCTGAAATTTTTTTTATAACCTCTTCTTGGGCTATACAATAGATCTCCAACATTTTAAAAGCCTATTATGTTATTAGTATCATGGAGAAAGATGTATTTTTAGTGGAAATAGATTATGAAAAAAAACCAAGCAATTTACTTTAAAGGTAAAATATGAGGCTTTCATAAAAACCAATAGTCTTAAGGGGAAAAGGTAAGATGAACTGGCTGTTCTGAACAGATCCACTCCTGAAGAAATGATTCAGAGTATGCTTGCCTTATGGGTCAATAACAGTAACTTCATATGTGAAAGTGTATTATTACAGATGTGACACACAACTAATAGTAATAGCTAACACTGACACTTCTATTTCAGGCAGGATGATGAGCACTTTATTATTTTAATTGAATACTGAAAATAATCCACTGAGGTAGGTTTTATCATTTTATAGAGGAGAAAATTGAGGTGCCCAGGTGTCACGGCCAAGGGGCACTTACCCACACAGCCTCTTCTTTTTCTAAGTGCTAGAAGGAAGAAAAAGCCTAACAGCCAAAATAGTTACCACAAGACCATAAAGCTGGGATTCTGTACACTATGGCAGGATTACTTCTACTTTCATGTAGGGACTGTCTTTCTTTTTTATTCCAACAGTTTTTTTGAAAGGTTGATTCCCTGACTTCCCAGACTTGTCCTCAGCAAACAGCAAAGGAGAGTGTGCAGTGAGACAGGTGTTTGCTTGTTTATTTATTCGTTCAGATGGTATTGCCTGGAAGCCTACAACATACCAGGCTCTATACTGGGCACTGCAGATACAGTGGGGAGCAAACTTGGACTTGGTGCAAGCCTGTGTGGTCCATACAATGAGTATGGGAGACACAGTAATCAACTCTCACAACTAAATGTACAATTGCAGGTATAATTAGTATTGTGAAGAAGTCCCAGGGTCTTTGAAAGCATATAATGGGTAAATCCAAACCTGATCGGATAGGAGCCAGGTGGTTTATAAGGGGCAGACACATCCTAGTTAGAAACAGTGAAACGAATGCCGATTTAATAATGGATGCTTATAATGAGCTTAAATCAGAATGAAATTATACTCAGTGTCTCATGTTTAAGAAAGTAGAAAAATATAGAATACATTTGGAAAGATTCCCATGAGAATTACCTAGGGAAAAAACCATGGCCATTTGAAGAGATAAGGATTAGTTCTGTGTAAGTTCACTACGTGAGTAGGTTATGTTGGTGTTACTCTTAACAATGTATCCTCACTGTCCTGTTGCATGAAATAGGGAAGTAAAACTGAAAGAACCATTTCTTGTATTTGTCAAACTAGCCTTTTCTAGTATCTATCTAGAAATTAGATAATTTCTAATACACTCTTCAGCCTAACTGCAAAACACCGTGTAATAGATGAATTACTCAGCGTTCACTCTATTAATTAGAAGTGAAGGTCAATGAATGCAATACAGCATACTTATTGAGCATCTACTGTTATCCCAAGTACTGTGTTAGAATTTGAGTATTCAAAGTTGAGTAATAGCCTTTGCCCTGCGGAAGCCCACCATATAGAAATAATTGTCAGTTATTTTCTTAAATGTTGAGTATTATCAGTCATGTTGTAAGTACCATATGTAAGTCAAGAAGCAGTCTCACCACTACCTCACTATGATTTGGTGATAATTGCCATTCACGGTTCTTCTGTTTAACTTTTACTTTTTCATTTTTCCAAAATCATGCAGCATCTGTTTTTGTTATGATTTTTAGTGGGGCTTGGATTAAAATGCTTTGATTTTGTGGTGCAGAGATATTTTATTTTCCAATTTACATTGTAGCTTTCCTTAAATATCAAGAACAATGAGTAAAATAAACTTTGACTTTAAAATCACCAGAAGCGATACCTGGGTGGCTCAGTGGTTGAGCATCTGCCTTTGGCTCAGGGTGTGATCCCAGGATCCTGGGATGGAGTCACACATCGGGCTCCCCACAAGGAGCCTGCTTCCCCCTCTGCCTATGTCTCTGCCTCTCTATGTATCTCTCATGAATAAATAAATAAAATCCTAAAAAAAGAAATCACCAGAAGATGCCTAATTTGTTGAAAGAGTGGAAGGAAATTTATTCAGTTTGAGAAAAAGTTTCTTTCATACAATTGATACAGTACCCAGGATATTTATTTATTCTTAAGTGCAAAATTAAGAGACTGGCTTTTGTTAATTGTTTTCAAGCTTTTAAAAATTACTTTTAGCAAAAAAAAATTTCAAACAATGTATTACCTGCACTTCCCAATTAATAAAAAGCAGTTGCTTTGAGGGTACTTCTGAATTAGCTGTGGCTCTAAGACCAGTTTGAGAACTACTTTGCTTTTAAGTGACACAAAAGGGGTGCAGTGGAAAGACAGACCCTATAGTTAGGGTTGATAGAGCTGTGTGCTTAACCAACACATGGTGTCCATATCCAAAAACCTGATACCTGTTGGGTTAGCCTGTGCCTGTGTGTTGGCAGTAATTTAAGATACTTCCACATGGTTTCATTTAGGCCCTCTGTTTGTGACCTCACATGTGGATTTAGAAGGGGCGAGACTTTTCCTTTTGTCAACCTTGACTTCTCTTTGGATATGGAGAAAGCAAAAGGCAAAAAGAACTCCACGAAGTGGGGAAAGACTATCTGGCTGGCCAATCCTAACCTGTATCTGAAGAAGCCAAAGAGAAACAGCAGGCTTCTGGTGAACCAAAGTTCACCTCAGCAAGTGGGACCAAACGGAAAAGATCTATGAAAGAAGGCGAAGCTTCCTGTTCAGAAAAGACGGCACAAGGCACGAGTACAAGAGTAAGAATTTGGAAGAAAATCCCAGTTCCTCCATTACCTTTGAAACTGTCACCACCCAACTTGCTTCACTGAGACATCCTGCGGGCCTGCCTGGTGCCAACAACTCAAGCTGAGCACCGAAGGCCAGAAATTAGATGTACATAAGCGAATCTGCGAATATGCTTACCCAGATCTAAAGAAGAACATTCCTGTCACCGCAGAGGACGCCAAGATTCTCACACAGAGAAGACTGATGATGGACAAGGGGGAAATGTCTCTGGAAAGTCCTGGAACAAAGATACCTTCTGATGGAACCTACCCTCCTGAAGTGGCTGCCCCCGAGGGGTCTCATGCTTTCCTAGAGTGGGTCAATACTGTTGTGACAACTTTGGCCCCAGATGCCGTGTTTGCCTCCTGGTCTAGAACTACAGCCAGGGCTGGGAAGATGGAGACAGTGGCATCGCCACAGGAGGCCCATGGTGTCAAGTGATGTGGTCCCTGGGAGAAGTATGCCTGCAGACACAGAAGGTTGGGTTCACCTGCAATTTCATGCAGGACAAGCCTGGGTGCCTGAAAAGCCGGGAGAGTATGCGCCCTCTTCTTGCTCCCCAGTTGTAGCTTCCCACCCCCACAGCTGGAGGACAATATGCTGTGCCCTAAATGTGTTCACAGGAATAAGGTGTTAATGAAAAGCCTCCAATGAGCTTTCAATAGCACGAAAAGGGACACAGCTGTGATTATAATCAATGGTACAAAGAGAACTACAATCAGCTCCGTGGTGACGGACTGTAGGCTGCTCACACCTTCCATGCTTCCTGCTTACAGGGACACAGGCTAGGGCATCGCAAATGTTACCCTCCAGCCTCCACTGGGGCCTGTGGCTTCATGGGTTGACATGCAGGGGCTCTTAGGTTTTAAATTGGAAGAGCATTTCAGAAATTACCATTCATTCTACTCAATAAGAAGAAAAAGTCATTCATACTACCAAAAAACGTTTACCCTCTGTAATAGAAGTGACCTTAACTTCTTTATTTTATTTTTTTAAAAGATTTTATTTATTCATGAGAGACAGAGAGAGAGAGAGAGAGGCAGAGACACAGGCAGAGGGAGAAGCAGGCTCCATGCAGGGAGCCCGATGTGGGACTCGATCCTGGGACTCCAGGATCACGCCCTGGGCTGAAGGCAGGCACTAAACTGCTGAGCCACCCAGGGATCCCCCTTAATTTCTTTTAAAGTGGGAACTTGAGCCTCGCCTGGCAAAGGGTTTGGGGGTGGGGGTGGAGTGGGAAGTACAGGTGTGCTTCCATGCTGGATTTCTCTGCAGTTCTAACTCCTCCACAGATGGCTACACCTTCTTAGGTTCAGGACTTCAGGCTGTTCAGTATTTTAAACCAAAGTGAAAGCTGTTATTCTTTCCCACTCTCAAAAACATACTCTTAATATACAAAACATTTTTTGATGTTTTCTTAATACCTGAGACCTCTGTGGTGTGTCTCTGGGATAATAATATAGAACACTTTGCGGGTATTATTTCTACTTGTAACTATCATGTGTGTTTCTAATGCTTAAAAATATTTAAGGGTACTTCTGAATAATAAATTTATAATGTATTAGATTTTAAATTGTATATCATCTATTGTATATAGGAGGCCATATGCATTGTGGGCAAATTATTAATATTCTTAACTCAGGATTAAGCCAAAAATCATGATTTTCTTTGGCATGATTCTTTTTTAAAACCACTCAAATGAAGTATGAGTAACATTAAAAAAAAAACTATACATTTAATGTATATAATTTGAGTTTGATTCATTTAGAATTTTGTGTCCTTCCTAAATTTATACTGCTGTGGTTCTTAGAAAAGACTTGTTTTTCCCCACTTGTGTTCTTATGGCAGTTTCCAGCATTGTTTTATTGTTGTAGAATTGGAAATCATGAGACTTTTTTCCCCCTCTAATGTACTGGAAGGAGTAGTCAGGAGGAGTCAGAAACCTTGTAACCATTAGGATATGGACAGATTTGGGCAAGAATCCTCAATAAATGTTAAAAATGTCAAAAAAAAAAAATAGAAGGGGCTTAATACTACAGCCTGTTCCTCATTAGCACTCAGCTAACATCATGCAAACGATCACACTTCATATCCTCAAACCCAGGCTTCACAGCACCCTGACCCACACGGTGTGCTCCTAAAACTGGCGGTGGGAGCGACAGCGACTAACGGTAAACGCCGCGAGGACCGTGCACGGACGGCAGACACCGTGGCCATCACCTCCGTACGAGGACCCGAAGAGGAGCCTGCCCCCCACGACCTGGGCGAGGCCGGCGCGCAGGCCGCCGCGCACGTGCAGAGCGAGGCCCACGCGGGTGCATCGTGCTTCGTGCCACACGGGGGTTCTGACCGGGAGGAAGGGCTTCCGGGGGGTCCCCGCCTGGGCCCCTGCATGAAGCTTGGGGAACTTTTATGCTTAAAAGAACAAGACCTGAGAGTCAGGCGCTGGGCACCGTCTGAGGCAAGCCTCTCATCCCAGGAGGCAGGCAAGGGCTCTCGCCTCCGTTATCACCAGGGCGAGCCTCCGACTCGCGGCCCACATGGTGGATCGGCCCCGAGGCTCCCAGCAGGACCTTCCCGCTCCCCTCCCTGCGCCTGCTCCGCTGGGCTAAGGCCCCCGTGGACCCCGCGCTCGGCTTACCCCATGGCAGGGCTTCGCCCCTCGCAACAGGCTCCCCCGACGCCTGGGATCCGACCCGAAGGGCGGACGACAGCCCGCCGCCCGCGCCGCTCCCGGCCTCCGCCGCCTGCCCGGAAGTGACGTGACGGAAGCGGAAGAGCCGGCCTGGCGGCCGACTTCCGGTCGCTAGAGGCGGGGGGGTGGGGGGCCGGCTCCTAGGTGTGTGACTGTGTGGGGCGGCCTGGGGCGGCCCCGGAGCGGCTGACCCTCTGCCTGCGGGGACGGGAGTCGCGAGGCGGCCGCCATGGCGGTGTCGGAGAGCCAGCTCAAGAAGATGGTGTCCAAGGTGAGTCCCCGGCGCGCTGGCCGCCCGGCGCGCGCCCACCGCTGCCCTCGGCGCCCGGCGGGGCCTGGCGGGGCTCAGCGCGGCGCGCGTCCCCGGCGGCCCGAGGCCCGAGGCCCGAGACCCTCTGCGGTGCTCCGGCGTCTCTGCGGCCCCGGCCCCGGGCCCGGGTCGCCGTCGCCGTCGCCGGGCGGGGGCGGGGGGGCGGGGGGGCGGCGGTCAACAAAGGCGCGGAGCCGAGGCCCCCGCCCCCTGCCGCCCGGCCCCCGTCTGCGGGCGGAGCTGGGAGCGGTCGGCCCGGCTTGGACTGAATTCTCCGTGCGAGCGGGTCCTCCGCTCGCGTCCCCGTGGAGGGGCCCGTCCGCCTTCGCCCTGCCGGCCCGGCCCCCAGACGTTGAGCCCTTTTCAGTTTTCCGCGCCTCCCGCAGCTCCGCACCGGACTCGCTTACAAGTGAAAACGTCCGGAGGAGCCGAAATACCGGCCCCTCGACACCTCCGCGAGTTCATTCCATGACAGTTTCAGGCACTTAGATTTTCTGAGACAACCGGTTTTGTGCATCTTGCAGCGCAGACCTGTTTGCTTTGAATCTATAATCTCCAACCGTTCAAGACCAGGATATATATATTTTTTTTTTGATTTCTTAAAAAGCAAATAGACATTTTACGTTTTAAAGCAATAAAGTGTTTTGATGATTACTTTTATGTGGCACCTGATAACCGTGAACTGGGTGATAGTGGGGTTTGTGGTTTGTTTGGTCCCCCCCCCCCTTTCTGTTTTCAGTTTGCCAATTAGGAATAAAATGTATGTAACGTGGTTGAGAGTTGAATCTTCTCCCTCCAGTTCAGTGGGTTCGCTTTGGATACTTTTGTCAAAGCAAGAATGGTAGGAATCGAAGTAGGTTAAGCAGTTTTTATTAAAAATAATAAGACACAGCACTTGTGTCGTAAGACATGTCTTTGAAAAGTATGCACCGCGCCCCGCCT